TATATATATATCATAAAAAAAAATAGGAATCAAATAATAACAAAAGCCACGTTTTACTGACGCATATTGATCTTTAATTAGCTTTTTTAATATTGCGTGCATCCTAAAGGTAGACTTAAAAAAAAAAAACTTTGAAATGAATGCTGCTAATCGTCTGATTCAGATTCTAAGGACCCAAGAAATTTTTATTCTATTTTCTCTAAAATTATAAAAAAAAAGTTTAATAAAAACACGTTGTCGATATTAACAACAAAAACACTATTTTTTTAAAAAAATGTATACATGTATGAATGTCGCTGAAATAAACTACGAAAGACACTAAAAATGGTTTTTTTATTCTAATTTTAGTATAAAGTATACATATATATATATATTGAAAACTTATTCAACATAGTATTCAAGTACATATATAATTTTAAAAGGATTACTTTTTTAACCATTCAATCTAATTAGAATTTGTACTCAAGTTATTCTCAATTATAGATTTTATATATAGACAATGATTAAGTGAAATAATATTTTGTAAGATTGGTGGTTGAGAGATATGTTCAGAAAGAAGGTATCAATTTTAATTAGATATTCTCGCTAGTTCTCTAATTGATCATAATTAGAGTTGTTCTAGTTATGTATGTTGCATTTGATTTTATATCTTGAACGACTTGATGAAAAAATTGCTTTTTTTTTTCATGGAAAACATGAAGAAGAGATATATATGTCCCAACCAAAAGGTTTTAAAAAACAAGAAAAAGAAAACTTGATTTATAGATTGATCAAATTTCTATAAAGTTTAAAGCAAGGGCCAAGATGTTGGTACAAGAGATTTGGTTCCTTCATTATTAGTTTTGGTTACATCAGACTAAGTTCATACCATTGTATGTACTACAATAGGTATGATGACAATGATTTTATCATTTTGTTGTTGTATGAAGATGACATGTTAGTGGTAAGTCCTAACAAATATTATATATTTGGATTCAATAACCGAAGGCACGATTGGTTAGGGAGCTTGATATGAAGGACTTGGGATCAACAAATAAGATTTTAGGGATGCAAATTGACCGAGACTTAAAAGATAGGAAGATTTTGCTTTTTCAGAATAATTATTTACCGAAAATCTTATTGTGTTTCAACATACAAGATTGTAAACTAATTTTTACCCCACTTCCTATTAGTTGCAAATTATCTTTAAGTATGAGTCTTATCAATGAAGCGAAAAGGAAGGAAATGTCTCGAGTGTTGTATGCATCAGCGGTGGGAAGCCTTAAGTATGCCATGATTTATATAAGATAAAACATTCCACAAGCAATGGGAATGGTTAGTAGGTTTATGGAAGATCCCGATAGAAAGCATTGGAATACTATGAAGAGGATTCTCATATACATTAAAGGAACCTCAAATCATTATGTTTTGAAGGATCAAAATTTGTTGTAAAGGGTTACATTGGTTCAGATTTTGCAGGTGATATGGATAAAAGAAAATATACTATTAGTTATGTGTTTACACTTGCTAGAGGGACAATAAGATGATTATCCAAGTTATAAACTGTTGTGACTCTATCTACTACAAAATTTGAATACATGACACTTACTCAAGTATGCAAGAAAGCAATAAGGCTAATGGAGGAACTTGCCACAAACAGTAGAAGACTATTATGTATTGTGACAGTCAAAGTGTCTTGCACATTGCAAGGAATCCACCCTTTCATTCCAAAATAAAGCACATAGACATACAATACCACTTTGTTTGTGAAGTAGTAAAAAAAGGAAAAGTGGATATGCAGAAGATTCATACTAGAGACAACTTGACAGATGTGATAACAAAGTTGATTAACACTGATAAGTTTACATGGTGTCAATTGTCATATGACTTATCAGAAACATAAGCAGTACGGAATGACAAAGAAGAAATAGTAGTGTTGATCCGGATCATTCTCACTTGGACCCCACTAAGACTATAAATAAAGCCTAGTGATCTCCCTTCTTCTCATCCCAAATCTTCCTCTCCTTAATTTACCTATTTTGAGAGTTTTCTCTAGATATAGTGTAATTTTCTCTTATAATAAAATTTTTCCATTGTGTCTATTGTCTTTTTTTTTTCCTTATATTTTCTCATCTTTTATCTTTGTTGTTATTATTTAGTTACCCTGATACCCAACATTAGAAGTAGGTACAACTAGTAGTCATCACCACCCTCGAATGCCTAGAACCTATAGGAAACCGAGGGTGCAGAACCAAAGTCGCAAATCATTGGTTCCCTTATATCTAGAATCCTATAGGTAGCCGAAGACACCGAACCATAACCGGTAGAGCTTTAGGCTCACTGCTACCTTGGCTTATGGACAAGAGGATTCATGTTTTTCGGAATACCCAGCCACCAAAACATTTTAAGTGTTGCCGAATACCTGCCCGATTAACTATTAAAAATAAATGAATAATTAAGTCTAACCACAATAAAACATGGATTATCACGTATTACATATTTGATAATCACATACTAAGGTCCATTAGGATCTGGTCTCATCATAAATAGCATAAATATATCTGTATTGAACCGATATTTGACTTGAACATTGGAGTGTTGTTTGCAAGCATATCCTCCTTTCAGTATAACCTGGGCACCGGATGGGAAAGTAAGAAGACTGAAGAGCGAAGTTGGAGTCAGACCACGTCGTACCCGGAACAGGTACAGGTTCCTTAACAAGAAATTAAGCTTGTAGTAACATGTAATTTGTATTAGTATAGGCAGAAGTAATGGATACCAAGTTTTATGGCAACTTGCAAATATGCTACTATTGTTAAATAGAACAAAATTTCTTTGAATGTCATTTGCGAAAGGTGCAGGTACAAGCACTAATGGTGTACTACTATAATCATATTCAAGTCCTTGAAAAGGAAAAAACACAAAGATAAACTCTATATTCAGAACTTCTATCTTATTGCAGCTCAAAACTTAAATACCTGGGTTTTTATTTCCTTTTGAATAAAAGAATCCATTAAGCTGAGGGTATTGTTTGGGGGAATATTGTAGAGTAGGAGACAAAATAAGTGATTACATTGATATAACATCATCGTCCATCTGAAGGTGTAAAGGGACCTACAACTGAAGATGTGTTATTTCCATTAAGTTGCAGTGATGAACGAGAAATTAATTCTTGAGTGGTGCTACTTCCTTCAAAATCTTGCCACCTTTTGAGTGCTTCTGGTAATGTCATATCCAAGTCAATTCCATATATGTCATCAACATTTGTTTCAGAAGGCTTCCAAACCTGAACAAGAGATGACAACACATTCACTGCATGACTCATGTCAGGACGTTGATAAGGCTCCCTTGCACAGCAGTGCCCTGCTAACTGTGCAACAGTACTAATGCTGGCTAAGGTTTCCTCATCAACTTCAATTGTTTGGTCGATGATTGTTGGGAATGAATCTTTGTTCTGTAGCATCTTCCGGAACCATGTAACAAGATGGATGTTCTCTTCTGGCAGACTATCATCGAGTGCTTTCCTTCCGGTTATCATTTCCATAAGAATCACTCCAAAACTATATACATCAACCTTTGTTGTAAGTCTTCCAGTGGCTGCCCAATCATTCACAAAATTTCCAAGTTAGTGCCTTATATTTGAACCATAAAATGAACTTTATGTTATAAAATTTCAACTATTATTCATCCTATAAATTATGTGCATGTTTGGTAACCCATCAATTATATTCTGACGTAAATCAACAAAAAGTAACTCGGGCTTGCTTCTCCATCAATTTCCTCTTTTTGACGTGGTTTTAAGGGCCAACGTGGATCATTGACCCAAAACCAAACATGCGCTGTAATCATTGGTGAATAGAGTCACTAGTTAATTGGCTAAGTGGCTTATTTTTTAAAATTGTAGTCTGCCATTGGTGATTGCATATGCACATTGCACAAACGAAAACAGTTAAAGTATTTCTTAGTTACATTTTCATGCAGAAGAACCAAAGTCAGATATAAGAAGCATTGCATATAATTGTTTATGAAGGAGAGGGAACACAAATGTAAAAAAGAGAATTTGAAAGCCTAGCTAGTAGCTAACAACCTGCATACTCTGGTGCCATGTATCCAAAAGTTCCAGCAAGTCTAGTTTGAAATGAGGTTTTCCCTTCAGGAGCAAGTCGAACCAATCCAAAATCTGATACTTTAGCACGCATATCATCTCCAAGCAAAATATTAGATGGTTTGAGATCCCTATGGATGAAAATTTGTTGTGCCAAACCATGAAGATATTCAACACCTCTAGCAACATCCAAGGCAATGCTAAGCCTTGTCTTCCATTCCAATGGCTTTATCCCTTCAGCTTTCCAGTTAATCAAATGTTTACTAAGTGCACCCTGAGGCATGTACTCATAGACAAGAAGTCTCTCACTTCCATCCAAGCAAAACCCCAAGAGTGCAACCAAATTTCTGTGTCTAACCTTAGTAAGCACTGCAATTTCAGCTGTGAACTCACTCAACCCTTTCTCATCCACCAACCCTGCTGATTGCATCCTTTTCACCGCAATTTTCGTCCCATCATGCAATTCTCCTTTGTATACAGTCCCAAACCCCCCTTTCCCCAATATGTTTTCTTCACTGAAATTGTTGGTAACTTCTCTCAAAACTTGAATTGAAATTAACATGTTAGCAGCTTCTCCCTGATAAACACTAGCTGTGGGACTTAATAATGTACTAGTAGTTCCTTCCCCATAACCTCCACCACTTGTTGTCTTCGTAGCATTTCCATCCCCATAATAGTGAGGAAGAACCAAGATGCCACTTGGATTTTTAGTTTTCCTCGCATATTTCCACTTCCCCCCGAACTTAAAAAGTATTAGAACCCCGGTAACAAGAACAATAGCAACCACCACTATAATTACAACAATGACTCCAGCATTATTGCTGCTACCATGGTTGCTACCATCAGCATTATCTTTATTAGAACCTGAGTCAATCACAGTTGGTTTATTCTTTCCAATATCATGATTCCCATCTACCTTAACAGACACTTCTTTACGGAATGATGGTACTTTACCATACAAATGATTGTTTGAAACATCCAACTCTTGCAGAAGGGGCAAAGTAGCAAGCTCACGTGGTATGGTACCAGTGAGAGCATTGTTAGAAAGAAGCAACTTTGTCATAAAAGTGAAGCTAGCAAAAGATGGAGAAATAGTGCCAGTCAAACCCATGTTCTGAAAGTTAATAACTGAAATGTTTCCACCAGAGCAAATTATACCAGCCCATTTATTAGCACAAGGATCATTACCCTGCCAACTCTGAGCAAGCTTGAGAGGATAACCCAAAGGTGCAACAGCTGATAGCAAAGCATTCACAATAGGACTACATGGCTGCCCCGGCACGTTTGTGCAATATTGATTCCTCCCTCTATCCATGTTATTGTCAACTCCTACACCAAATTTAAACCTTGGAGGGGACCCTTGAAGAAGGTTATTGGTTAAGTTCACAAACTTGAGACTTGGAAGAGCTGCTAGGGAGGGTGGAACAACACCAGTCAACTGGTTATCCCTTAGATTCACATAAACAAGTTGATCATGGTGTGACATGTCAGGTATAGGACCCGTGAATGAGTTACCATTAGCCCAAACCATCCTCAAGGATCTCATGTTTTGTAAGACAGCAAGAGTTCCATTTAGCTTAGACACGCTATTCTGTCCATTCACCAAAAGGTTTTCTATTGAACTACCGGAGAGGCTTGCAGGCAAAGGACCTTCTAGGAAATTATCAGACAAGGCCAAAAGAACCAAACCTGCGAAGGGGCCATTTTTCCCGAAGAAGTCAGGGATTGTGCCCACAAGGCCAGCACTCTGAGCACTGAAAGTTTGGAGTGCAACACAATCGCTGAGAGTTTGGGGAATGTGCCATTGAGAGAAAGGGTTGTCATCGATTCTCACCTCTTGCAGATTGCTCATGCCCTTGAAGAAATCGCCGGGGATGAAGCTGAACTGGTTGTCATGGATTATCAACTTCTGCAGGGATTTAGAGAGGTAGGGGAATGGCCCTGAGAGAGTGTTGCTTTGGCACTCGAAATGTACCAACGCGGTTAGCTTCGCAAGCTCCTTGGGGAGAGATCCCCGAAGGTTCTGGTTCCCAATCTGAATAGCCACCACGCGTCTTGATGAATCACATTCAACGTGCCTCCATTTGCATACATCTGGACCTGTCCATTGGAAGGTAAGGGAGGCGTTGATGGAGTTCTTCAGAATTTCCATGACCTCAGCGTCTTGACACGTGGCTGAGACAACTAGGAAGACGAGGCCATATATCAAGGAACCCCCAAAACCCAATGCAGGTTTCACCATTTTGGTTGGAGAAAAACAGAAAGCATGCAAGGGGAAGAAACACGCCAAGGGTTTAAGGGGGAAGGTGTTCACATGGTATTTCAGGAGGGGGAGGAGCCGGAGGAAGACCCTCCCAACGAAGAAAACGAAATCGAAAAACAGAAACAAAAGTGCAGAGGTTGTTTTTCTTTTTGTTTGGGTAAGGGAGAAAATGGTGGGGGAGACATGCATGTGTGTGTCTTTGGATCTTTCACAATCAATGGTTTGCATTGCATCTTCCTATCCCACTCACGTAATCTTTGTAGTAATTAACTTCAACACTACGTGCTATTCTTATTATTAATCCCTCCCTTCTTTTTTCTTTTTTTTTTATTTGTTATCATCACCTTTTAAATATAAAATTATTAATTATGCTGGAATCTATTGTCTATTAGTAGAAAAGGAATTTTTTAATTGAAATGTAAAAATAGTGTTTACTTTAAATAAGAACTTTCATTCATAGATCAAAATAGTTTGAGTATAATTATTTCAACCATGCACGACTAGCTAAACTTTCCTATAATAGTAGACATTTATAAAATTAATTTTAGGTGATTTTAATTTTGTAAAATTGCTTTACGTTAAAATTAGATTTGAACTAAAAATATTTATATTTGGAATAAAAGTTTATAATAAAACTTAACATAAAGTACTTAATGTAATTTTTCATTTTTAAGTAAAATGTATTTCTAAAAACAAACTTAATATTAATTTATTACCGTCAAACACCAAAAATTGTTAAAAAAATTTAAATTTGAAGCCAAAAGTTTCCCACATGAACAATATGTCGAATCTGATCAAATTAAGATTTTTATTCGTAAATTTTTATTAAATTTTTTACCTCTAGTATCTCATATAAGGGCTACATGTAACTCAACCACCAAGTCATTGACGTTATTATAATTATAATTAAACTCTAAAGATATATCTTTAACATATTTTTCCTAGAGTGTACAAACCATTATAGTGTTGTTGTATGCGATTATTCACTTTGGAGTCTTATAAGAATGGTAAATTCAAAATATGGTAATTTATAAGTTAACTTTTCACTTTGTTTATTATATTTTTTGGTTTACAAGTTGAAAAAAAAAATAGTTATACTGCAATCAACTAAAAAAACAAATCACAAGGGAACGATACAAATGTGGCAATACGAATACATGATATATTTAATAAGAGATATGTTCCCATTATCTATATATAATGAGGATTTCATGTTTTTTATACACTTTATTAGAAATAATTTTAATCTTTTAAATAAAAATAATAAAAAATTAAATGAAAAAAATTGTAAAAGCCTTTAACTACCCACTATTTTTTTATTGAGATGAGTTTAAATAAAAGCACTAAATGTCTTCCGTTTTGGTTTCTTAGCCTTCACCTCGTAAAGCACTGGTTCACTATGGTGAGTGGTTGAAACTTTTTTCCTACCAAATTCTTGAAAAATAAAAATTCTTAGGCATTCTATAAATATTATTGAACTTAAAAGACTTGAAAGCTAAATAACAATTTCTAATTTAATATTCCCTTTGTAACATGGAGATTTTCTTATATTATATATTAACATTTTGAATAACAAAAGTCACAAGTTATACCTTTTTAATTAAGGAAATGAAAATTATATATAATAAAAAGTTATTGCTACCTAACTCAAAAGAAAATTTCATCTTATTATATAAAATTGTTAATGTTGGAGTAGTTTTTTCCTTAAAAAATCTATCAAATTAGGGTATTTTAGTAAATTAAATTCCATTATTATTTTATTTTCACAATTATAATAACTAATGTTTGCACAAATTACATAATTTAAGTTATTGTTTATCATCTTTTCATTTACTAATTTTCTTTTTTAGGTATTAATTAGCTAATTAAATTTTGATTTCAATTTTTTTGTTTCAAAATCTTTATTACTTAAAGATATATATAATAACAAATTTTGAGTTTGGAAAGATAAGGAACGAAAACAACCTTCCTACTACATGTAAAACAATAAAATTAATTTAACAATTTTTGTTTTAGAAATTAAAGTAATAATGTTTGGAATTTTTTATATTAATTTAATATAATCTTTTCACAGTATTTAAGTTTTTTATGACTCATACATTTACTTTATTACTTATTTTTAAGCATGCATATTTTTTTTAAGTCTTTTCATATTTAATTATTGATTTTTTTTTTAAAACTAACAAATTTTAATTTTAGTCTATATATATTTTTTAGTTATTCATTTTTATAAAATTAAAAATTATTATTTTTGGTTTATATTATTTTTTATTGCAAAGTCCGGTCTATGTGATCCTATTTTTTACTTATGAATTTATCATAAGGTTAAATGACTATATTAAATAACACCTATAAGAATTGTGTTACTAAGTGAGTATGTGAGTAGAATTTTTTTATTTATAAATTTTTAAACAAATATTGTTATTTAGTTTAAAATATTATTTTTAAAAAACAACGAGCTTAAATTTTAGAGAAAAGAAAACTAAAAAAATATTTTATAAGGATTAAAATAAAAAATTTCTCACTTTACACAATAAAAAATAATAATTTCAAATTTCTAAAAGATATTTTTTTATAGAAATTAAAATTAAAACTCATTTATTTGACATAAATAAAAACATATTTAAGAAAAAAATATAAGGTATCCAGTTTTTTCCCTAGAATCTAAATTTTGAATATGATGAAATCTTCTTTAAAAAAAAAAAAAAGAAACCAATATTTAAATATTTTTAAACATGAGTTGCCGAAATTAATTAATTGTGTGTTTGGAATAAAAAAGAGAAGGAAGGGAGAATTGATATTTTATAGAAATAGAGAAAATGATCCATTTCGTGTTGAATAAGAATTGAAGATGCTCCAAAGTCGTAATATACAAAGGCAAAGTACACATACAAACCAAACCCTTTCTCAATTCCTTCTTAGTTCTTCATCCTTCCGAGATCGCCAGTTCCGTTAAGTCCCAAACCCAAACCCTAACCCTAACCCTAGCTATTCCAATTCTTCCTCCAACTCTGAAATTCACTTCCTCTTCGCACAACCATGGCGACGACTTTGGTGAGTTCCGCTGGTGGGATGCTGGCGATGCTGAACGAGCCTCATATCTCCCTCAAGCTTCACGCTCTTTCCAACCTCAACAACTTGGTCGACACTTTCTGGCCCGAGATCTCCACCAGTCTCCCAAAGATGTGCGCATTTTCCTTTTTCTCTCGATCTCTGCGTTTTGCCTCTTTGGATTTGGGTTTTGCGTTGTTTTGGTGAAAGTATTATGGTTTCAATTGATACGCCCTTTTAGCTTCTATGAGTATATTTGTAAGTAATGAAGATGAAAAACTGTTTAATTGGTTTGTTTTTTGTTTTAATTACGGTTTAGTAGTCAAATTTAATGTGCCGGGGATCCGTTGCATTCGTGTAGTAACTCACTTCCCTTATACATTTAGTGGTAAAAATCCATGATTCAATGTGTGGTCTTGAAAGCATGGCTTCTCAATCAAGGGAAATAGTTTTAGCTGAATCTTGTTTGTGCTGCAATTTGTAAACTTTGTTATTAATTTTGGTCTTTATTTGGCTTGATGATTGTTGCTTGGTTGAATTAAATCTTTGGTGTGCGTGGTTAGAAATGGGAATGTAGAGGATTGAACCTGTGTGTGTTTGATATGTTTTGAACAGCGAGAGTTTGCATGAAGATGAGGAGTTTGATCAACATCAAAGACAACTTGCTGCCCTTCTTGTATCAAAGGTATTTGTGTTGTGTTAATTATTTGTACTGGCATCTTCTATTGCTAATTCATGTGATATCCTTTTTGTTTTTGAAATAATTGTGTTTGAGATGGTTCACTTTTCATAATATTTGAGATTTGAGATATAAGAAATAAGTATTGGCTTTTCTCTATTTTTCCATATTAGTATACTTTTGAAGCAGTCACCAAAGGACGTACATTTTTTCCCAGTGGCATAAAATTTTATTCCCAGATTCTGATGTTTGTTTCATAGCTCGTTTTTTATGATCTGATGTTGCTTCACTCCTCAATCTTTTCAGGTCTTTTATTACTTGGGGGAACTTAATGATTCGTTATCTTATGCCCTTGGAGCTGGTCCTCTGTTTGATGTTTCAGAGGATTCTGACTATGTGCACACTCTTCTAGGTAAGAGTTATAATCTGATTTTGTTTTTCTTTTTGATGACAGTTTTATGGCCCTCTGAAGGCAATGTAAAACTTGCCGTCTGTTGATATACCTAACACGGATTACTCATGCCATTATAAGTTCCAAATGTCATTTTGATTTTGTTTTTTTTACTTTTATCTTCAGCTAAAGCCATAGATGAATATGCTAGTCTTAAGTCTAAGGCAGCCGAGTCAAGTGATGAATCAATCAAAGTGGATCCAAGGTTGGAAGCAATTGTGGAGAGACTGTTGGATAAGTATGTGAGCCATAATCATTCTTCTGGTTTCTTTATCTTATTTCTCGGACATCCCTCACTTTTTTGTTGCTTTTTCCTAATTTAGGTGTATTGTGGATGGAAAATACCAACAAGCTATGGGAACTGCTATAGAATGCAGGAGATTAGATAAACTAGAGGAGGCAATTACAAGGAGTGACAACGTTCAAGGAACTCTATCTTACTGCATTTATGTCTCTCATTCCTTTGTGAACCTTAGAGAGTACAGACAGGAGGTAAGGGAAATGAAGATTTTCTGGTTGTATTTAAGTTCTATACACAGTATGTCTCTGGTGGTATTTTCATTTCCTTACACCACCTTTCAAATTTAGTTGTAGGGTTGTATTCTATAAAGATGGGTTATGGTTTTATTTATCTGCAAAATATCCCTCTGGGATTTAATTCTTAATTGGAATATTACATCTTTATCAATTGTGTAGTGTACTCAAATGAGATGAATATTTGGCCACTGGATGGCTTTACACTATCAAGGAGTCTGATTAGTACTATCCGAAATGAAACTAAAAAAAATCGTAGGAATGGATCAAATTTGTTCTTTGACTACTCATTGGCTTGTGGGATGACTTGCAAACTACACAATGTGATAAATACTTTTTAACAATAGTGATTATGACAGAAGGTTTACATTGATCCTTGTTCTTTTTGTTCAGGTCCTGCGTCTCCTTGTTAAAGTATTTCAAAAGCTTCCTTCACCAGATTATCTGAGC